AATAATCTGTAATTAAAGACACAAAGCAGAACATCTAGCTTATGAACCAAAACTTAAGAAAAAAATTTGTATCCTCTGATTTTTGTCCTCTTATCTTCAATTCCTCATTGGAAATGGAAACATCACGGTCACATGGACAAACAGAACACTACTTTGCTAAATACAAAATCCAAAAAGCCTCAAACTTTTCAATACAAAATCAAGCAAGAAACATAAGCGATCAATCTTCCCTAAACAGTAAAGAGCCCCAACAATCCACGTGTTGCCAACATCTACAACAGTTATCACACAAACAAAAAACAAGAGACTTTAACTCCTTCAAAATACGAAATAGTGGGTTCCTAACAGAAGGGAAACTTACGTCCAAACATTCAATGTCTCATTATGGATAGTGAAGACACTTAGCAGAACCTGCTTCAATGGCCATTCAGGACGGTAATGGCCCACAATGAACTCGTTGTCCCTTAAATATCCAGGCAAAGAATGGTACTCTACAAGCTGATACTGAACTTTGTTACATAATCTCTTCCCTTTTCCTTCCCTTGAAACAGTTGCTGGGACCTTCTCAATTGTTTCAGTTATCAGCTCCGAACCCTCACTCATTTCATTTACACCAGCCATTCTCTGTTGAAACAAATGCATGCATGCCATAAAAAAAAATATCAGATCATTTCAAATAATAGCTAGCACCCGATTTTCAAGTAACATTTGATTGTCAAGGACACAAAAGAGAGAGACAAAAACGACAGAAAAAAAAAAATTGTCTCCGGGAATTCACTGAAAAAATTGTTCCAAAAACTAATTTAATTTATGTTTTTGTATCTATCTCTTTAACCAACACGTTTCTTCTGATCTGTCTTTTTCTATCTTAGAACACTGCCAGAATGCAATCTAGAAATCTTATAATATATTATTCATAGATTCTATTTATTTATTTTTTATGTGAGGGAGAAGAATACAAGTCCTAATATAGTAAATAATATCTCTGTATATTTAATATTATTGAAGATTTCTAAGTTTACGTTTGATGAACATTCAGAATCATTCATCAACGTTTTGTTTCATCGTTTTTCAAGGGAAACCACAAGATTCATATAAAAAAAACAAGAATTCAAGAAACTCTAAGTTGATGACGTCTTTTATCGAATTCATTCCAAGGAAAAGAAAGAAAAATAAAATGGGGATGGAAAAGAAGCAAGAAACCAAATTAGAAAACGGTACCTGAAGCTGAAACTGAAACGCAGATGACGATGATGATGATAGTCTTCACGTGCAAAAGAAATGACAAGCTCTAAAAACTAAAAATAAAAACACAAACGTGCTTGCTCAAGCCTTAAGGTTACACGTGGCCGTGGGAGAATGAAGAGAAACAGAGAGAGAGGAGAGAAGACACCAAATTTATTCTTATTGAAAGAGCTAGCGATACCGACACCCAGAAGCGTGAGAAAGCAGAGAATGAGAATAAACAGAGAGATGCTTTTGAATGCGAATAATTCCTATGATGGTTATGCTTCCGTGCTAACTCTAAATTAATTAATATCGTTGTTTTCTTATGATATTTCTATATTAAATAAGTATGATAATTACAACATTTTATTATTATTTTATAAAAAAATTTGATAGCCTTGGAAAAGGGACTCGTATAAAATTTATTTAAGAAATTAATTTATTTTGTGTATTATTTATAAAAAACATTTTTTAATTTTTTTTGTGCATTAAAAATAAGTGTCGCAAAGTCTTAATGTAATGTATGACATGATTATTTGGAATTTTATGCTTTTTTGTATTTTATTTATTTGAATAGATTTTGGATATGAATGAAAAAGAGAGTGGCGGTATCAAATATCTAGTGGGTATTTGTTTTTGTGTTGCAATCAAAGTGCTTTTTAAATTGATAATTTCTTAATTAGGTGTTTTTGAAAGGTATTAACATGTTAAAAAACTATTTTAATATATTTTTAATTAAAAAATATTATCAAAATAAAACTGCATTACAATACTAAAAACACGATTAATTGACTAATAGTAGGGATATAATAGAAAAACCAAATAGTTAACCGTTTGACTTGTTTGATAAAAAGATGACAATTTTGAACTATACCAAAACGAAAAGACAGAAAATATCTTTTTGAGTAATATTATATTGCAAGCCGTTCTAACTTTACTTTATAATTAAAGTTTAATTTATCTTGATGAATGTAATGATTATTGATTAAGCCGACGTAAAATCAATATGTTAGTGTTTCTTAATTATATATATAATTAAAGCAATCAGGTGTATAAGATGTTAGTTGATATATTTCACGCATATAATTTCAGTTATAACCCAAAATCAATGATGAAAATACAAAAAAAAATCTCTTGATATCAGTTAAAAAAATTATTTTAAATATAATTTAGTTATTTTATTATATTTTAAAAAAGTAAAAAAAAAACCTTAATTAGACCCTTATTGGAAATTTCTTGGTTTTAAAAATAATTTAATCATTTTATTATGCTTAAAAAAAATAAAAAGACTTGTCTATCTCTAATTCATCCAATAATAATAATAACTCGTGAATCTTGAAAAAAAACTATAATACTTTCAATAAACAGTTTAATAATCTTTTGTTATATATATATTACAAATTTCAAGTATGAGAGGTTAAGGAAAAGAAGTGAACAACTCGATAGTACAAGCCTCGACGTGTCTCATTGAAAAATAAATAATAATAATAAATAAAAAGCCAGTAAACCAAAATTTCCTCAAACTCAGCTTCGTATCATTTAGGGCCCACAAAAGAGGCACTTCAGATGACACGTAGCACGTGGGGGACAACACATTGCCTCTTTTTAAAATACACACAAACTGCAAATTGACCAAAAAATTGGACAATTGTTAGTCATAATGATTATTTAAGACTCTTTTAATTTTTGTTTTATGTGTATTTTAAAAAAAAAATCATTTAAAAAATATCAAATTAATATTTTAAAAAAATCAATAATTTTATCGATATCACAATAATATTTAAAAATTAAAAAAAAAATGATATATAACTTTTTATTCTTAGATGAAAATATATTATTTAAAAAATTTATCACCTGATATAATTCAAGACTGATTACATAAAAAAATATTATTACCATAAAATATTCTACTTGGAATGGGTAACGACTTACGGCTGCGCGTGGGTGACACGCATATCCCGTGGATGGCAAACACATGCAAGTGACGCTTCGATGTATTTGGTGGCACAAGCAAAGTTTTGGATTTTATTTTTTACACAAATCTGTTTCTTCTGGTTTAGGAGGAAAATAGAGGCCAGCTTGTGAAAATCTAAGGAACAGTAGTGGAGATGGAAATCTGCTAGTGACGGAGTTGTTTGTCGTCAGCGGGTGGTGTGTAGGTGCTGTCGGGTTGAAAGCTTGAAACAGAGAAGAGGGAGGCTATCTTTGGGTATGTTTTAGCTTGGGGTTTAATGGGTCTATGGTGGCTATATGGTGTTAACCGAGTGAGGAGGCTGCTATTGGGTCGCTACTGGTGGTGGTTCTACCGTGTGTGAGTTGGTGGCGGTTCAGTGCTGGTTCAGTCAATTAGAGATGGAATGAAGGGAAAGGTTATGGTGGGAGAGCTAGTCTAAGAGGCAACTGGAAAAGAAAGAGAAACAAATAAAAAGCTTAGGGTTTTCATTTGCCAATCGGGGGCTCGAGGTATGTATTTTTAAATTATAATAATAAATATAAACTTTATTTTTTTAATTTAAATTTATTTAAAATAAAAAATAAAAAAATTAACTGAAAATATTCTGATGATCTTTTTAACCGAAAATCAGGAAAAAAAAATAATACACTATATCCTTGTTGACAAATCATATCTTTGATTGAAATTAATTATTAATTTTTTAATATCTAATTTTTAATCTCTCCAGAAACTAAATTAAAAATAAATGGTTTCAAATTAGATTACAACAAGTTTTAATGTAATATATCATAAATAAAAATTCTTTTAAATAATAATAAACTCAACTAGAGGAGAACACGAATATTTGATAGACATTGTCTTTGACACCCCGATCCATCCACTCATCGGCTTTGATTTGTCTTTGAAAAAACAGATCCAACATGCTTCACCGAGTCACTGAACAAGCATTGATCAAAAGACATTCCGTGGCATTGGGTCGAGAGAAGCCAAGAGGAAGCAAACCCGAGCATGTTTTTCGATCGAGATAGTTGTTTATTAAATTATTAGATTCATTTGAATATATGAAATTGTTGGGAAATTAGGAATAACTAGATATTAATTACCCGGATCAATTAAGTGAAATACAATTTATAAGTTCTAATTTTATTTTTTATTTACAGTAAAAACAGAATCAAACAATGATTAAATATAATGTAAATAATTACAAAATCAATACCAAGATTTTTAACATGGAAAACCCGATGCGGGAAAAATCACGGGACCGTAATCCACCTAAAAACTTTTATTATCAACAAATAATGGGTTCACAATTATTCTTTCTCAAATTCAACTAAGGAATACAACATATATATCATCAAGAACAACTTATTCTCGGATTACAACAAGATTAAAAGAGAATTATTTGAGAAAAACTCACAATACTAACAATCCTGTTTTCTATCAAAACAGTCAGCTTCCACACCACCAATATTCGATCCAGCCGTCCAGAATAAAGAGTAACGTGTCTAGAAGCTGCTGTCAAAATCTTAGCCCGATTCAACAGTGAACGAGTTGAAAATCAAAGGAAGAACACATGCTACTCTCCAGCCTCTTCTTCTCTTTTTCTCTCTTGATTTTCTTTTTCTGCAGTACTCGAACCACGTTAATTTTAATATCAAGAGACAGAAATTAATGTGGTGGTTCCACCATCACATTATGCGAGACCACACACAACACAAATCAATACAATAAATACTTCTTTAGTTTTTTTTTTTAAATCATATTCACTCCATAGTTATTTTGTACATTTTCGAGATTATAAATCAGATTCACTTCGGAGTTCATGTTTTTCGATCGAGATAGTTGTTTATTAACAGCAAACTTTTCTCAAAATTGCCTTTCGAGTCAACTCAAACAAACCAACAGTATAAAATGAAAGATAAATCCATCTTTCTAAAGGCCACGTTTGAGAAAGCATTGGGAAAAAAAAATCAGAGAGACCGAGCTTTTGATATATAAATATTGTAAGCAGCTTCCATTTTCAGCACTTGCTTGGAGACATGTCTTGGCTTGACTTGAAATCCTTCCTCCAGCATTTCTTCGCAAAACATTTCCCTGGCATGGTTGCATCAAGTGCTTTACCACGAGACAATTGAGGCGTGTTTTGCTTAATAAGGTTGTAGCATCCTTTCACCATTTCCTGTTTTCATTTTTGTCATGAAACCGTAGTTTTATTACTCTGATTACATTTAATCTATTACAGACAAAAGTTTGCACACATAAGAACAAGTTAATCATCAGAAGTCGTTCTTACACTTCCCTGACCAGATTTAATGAAGATAATACTGGAGATTTACCTTGTTCATTCTGTTGTGAAAGCACTCCAATTTGGGGCAACCAATACTCTGATCAGTCACCCATAGCACTGCAGCTGCTGCTATTGTGGATGGAGTATAAGCCAAGATATTCATCACTGTTAAGAATTCATGCAAAGCTAGCTGTAATTCTTGTATGTGTAAAAGAGATTGAAAGGTTTGATTACCCTATGAATTACCTCTACATGTGCTGATAATAACATCGGATGAATGAGCTAAGATGAGATTCTTACTTCTGGGGCTGAGATGTGAAAGCTTAGCAATGAAATAATGCAGAAAAGAGAAAGGCGTAATGATGTGTAATCGCCACTTGAGACTGCCCATTACCAAAAGTTCCATCCTTCGAACTGTACTTGGTTTAAATAAGAATCTGGGTTCTAGTGTTTGTATGTCTAAAAGAGATGGGACTCTTGTTTCCTCCAATTTTGCTGCTAAAGATAGGCAGGCTACCGCTAATAGCTGCAGGGGCCATCCTTTACCTTTCTGCACGAAACAACAATTAATGACCCAATCAATGAGAAATCGATCCTTTACCTTTCTGCACGAAACAACTATTAATGACCCAATCAATGAGAAATCGAGTGGCTAAATTCTGTCAAATCATTTGGGCATGATCCTAATATATATTAGAATAGACAATAATTGATTTTGATGCCTACTTCTTGTTTTATCTATATGTGGCTCCAATCTAGTCACATTATGTTTGTATGATGAATTAGCAGTTGATCATACTATAATACAATAATGATCATCTTTAAGTCAAGAACACATTACCTGCAAAGTATGAGATAATATGAAACAATGAAAATAGTTAGCAGAGAGATATGCTGTCTCGGGCCTAAACCGGTAGTAAGCATGCACCTGCAAAGCAGAGAGAGTCTACTTAGCAAGGAAGAAAGGAAAAAAAAAATACACAAGGGAGTAGGATTAAAACACTAGCATCAACCTTCAACATCCAATTCAGCGTGTCTTGATGAGCAGAACCAGATTCTGGAATGTCAGGAAATCGAGTAATTAGCTCAGTTTCTGGCATTTGATGAAGCTCGGAAACGAGGATGTTATCGATATAGCTCTCGTCGATATCAACTGGAAGATATGCAGAGTTGATTTCACTAATGCCACCATCATTACTGGAACAAAGTGCATCACCAGCTGTTTCATTGCAGTACAAGTTAACAGAAGGAGTGGAAACATCTGCAGAGACAGACATGTTGTAGCTGATTTTTACTCAGTTGAACTGATCATCATCTGCTTTTCCTGTCACGCATTGGAGTAAAGGTTCAGAACTTTTTCGTTGCTTGTGGTGTCTTTGTATGTAATTTATACAGATTATTACAACACTGTTGATTCTGTCACTTCACAGATCACAGCATTGAGGTAATTTGCATGAAGCTTCCTCGAAGAGAAGCCAAAATGCTGTAGGGCCAATTCTAAGATAGGCACTGACTAAACTCCTGTTGCAGTGCTTGTCTTGTATCCAAATTTCCTGCAATAATACAGGCTTGCTTAAGGCATGTTTAGTAGGAAAGTTGCGTTTTTTAGCTGTAATTATGGTTTTTAGCTATGATTGTGGCTTTTTAAAAATCACAAATTATAACTTCTGAAAATAATACCCAACACTTAAAAGTTACGGCCACAGCTCAAAGCCACAGGCATGACCAAATTGGCGATTTCCACGTGGTCACTCAAGCGTAGTACCTTTTCGGTGCAATTCCTGTGGAGAAACTTTATTTAACCAAAATGACGACGTTTCCAAGCTGTTTTTAGTCTTATAAAGATGTATCTTGGGCCGGGAGATCTAGTGAGGTGATCACCCGGCCCAAGAAAATTAAAATGCACACCGCTAATCCTGTGGAGAAGGCTTGTGAATTATGGTCCTTGGAGATGGGCTCAGATCCAAGGAAAAGCATAACCAGCCCTCCTTTGCTGACCCGATTTTTATATTTTCTTAGATGTTTATTAATATAAATTTATTAAGCTAGGTCTTGTGGCTCGTGCATTTTATACATGTTTACATATTCTAAATTGAATAATTAATATGACGCTCTATATATAATGTATAAGTCGTTTATTTTTCATGGAAATATTCATTGCAATTTTGGGCCTCTTGTTTTGTGATTTTTCTTCTTTTAATAAATAAAATGTCACCGAGAGATGCTTTAACTCGAGGATTGTGCTCTTGTTTTTTGAGGCTGATTTTATAGTTTTTAAATCTACCATGGAGCTGGGTTGCGGGTTAAGAGGATGGGCTCTAAAAAATTTTTAAAAAATTAAAATTAAAATAAATTCAGTGTGTTTTTTAACCAGGTTAATCATGTTTTTTTTTTATTTTTGAATCCTCTGGCCTTAGGTTAGCTGGATACGATTAGGTGTCGAGGTTTTAAAACAATGGCTGAGTTGACAGGAGTGACCATAAAAAATCGTCATCATTCTGTTAGGTCACGGAGAGTGATAGGCAGAAGGGGAGAGAATTGAAAATTCAATGAAAGTTTAGGAGGTAATTGGTACAAACGAAAGTTTATGGGAGAAATTTGAGAGATAACGAAACCTCGAGGAGGTGGACTAAGGTTATCATAGTTCAACCATCTAGTAAATCGGTTCAGTAATAAAAATTTAGAATAAAAAATTTATTTTTTATAATTTATATTTAAATTTTATAATTATAAAAACTTATTTTATTGTTAATTTTAATATTCATGAAAATTAGTTAAGATATGCAAAAAAATAATCCGGATATTTAACATAAATTAAAAAAAATTATCAAAGTTAAACTTATTTTTCTAATATTTTTATACAAGCTAATAGAAACATCCTCCCGTAAAAAACTTAAACTTTACTAAATTACATAAAAAATGTAAATTAAAAAAACAAATTGCCGTGTGGTTTTAAAAACATTTATTTTTATTTTTTATGTTTTTTCAAGGTTTGAGTTATATATTAAGACATGCCTATCAATTTCGAAAAGAATATATGAAAAAATAATGCTTTATTTTAGGATAAATGAGGATCCAATAATGTTTCATCCAACATGTATTCTTAGCTCGGTAGTGAACTTTTACCATCCAAAACAAGTTTGACCGGCTAACATAAAAAGGGACAAAAATCATATTAAAATTGAGTGCCCATCATAAAAGAGGATAACAATTGTTTTTAAAAATATTTTTATTTAAAAATATATTAATTTTTTTAACATCAATACATTAAAATAATTTAAAAAAATAAAAAAAATAATTTAAAATAAAATTTTATTTAAAATTTTTGTGAAATGTTCTAAACCACAAAAATCATTAATAGAAGACAAATTGAACAAGAGAAGCTTGAGAGTTTGTTAAAATCTCACCTCCCCTCACAAATGGCAGGCTTGACCACACCGTGCCTTATCTCAAAACCAAAGAGCAGCCACCATCATTTGGCATGGGTAGGGTTTTTTTTGGTAGCCGTTGTTAGATGTGATTAGGGTTAGTTAGGTTCCCATAAGATGGGCTAATCAACTAACCAAATCTAATGGCCTATCAAGTATTAATACAAAAACCCAAGAACAAAGGCAACGAAGAGTGGGAAATTTCTCAAGGAGTTTCCTTGTATGCTCACAAATATTCATTAAATTTAGATAAAATTTTATGACGATAGAGTAGAGTATGTGGGCCAAACATCCGACCTTTAAATATTGAAAAAGAAAAACCATGCACGGTGGTGATTTGATTGATGATAAAATCAAATCCATGATAGAAAAGAATGATTTGATTTTAAAGAAGGTATTCGTCAGCAAAACCCATGATGATCATTTAAAGTTTATCATCATCCTCTTCTCCAACGGGATCAGAAAGCAAGATGCAAAGGGTAATGTGATTATGTTTTTCTTTTGGTATTTTAAAAATATTTAAATTTTTTATTTTAAATTAATATTTCTAAATTATTTTGATATATTAATATTAAAAATATTTTAAAAAATAACTATAATAGTATAAACGCTCAAGCTCAATTCTTTCTTGTTGAAAATAAAAAAGAAATAAAGAAAATCTCCCATTAATTTCTTTGTGAAAAATCGCATCAAGTCAACCATGAATACGCACCCATTATTTGGCACCCTAAATGCTTTGCATTTAAAACTCTCCTCCACGCTGTACCAGGCAGGATTGCCCAGATGAACACGTTATGCTGTGTCCATTGAACATCATCTTTAATTGTCAAAGAAAAATTCACCACAACGAATTGAATTGCATTAATTGCAGAGAGTGGCTCCGCTGCCAAATTAGTGTGCAGAATTCATGGAATCTGTCTCCCCAGTACATGAAAACAGCTTGCCGTGTATTTAATATTATCTTTTTTTATTTGAAAATATATTAAAATGATTTTTTATATATTCTTTTAATGCTAGAATGATAAAACTATATAAAAAAACATTTTAAAAAAACATTTTGAAGTTTTTATAAGTAAAATGAACTCTTAAAACACACTTAAAAAACAAGTAATGCTTTTCCATACATGGAGAAGATGTTGTAACATTGAGAGGCCAGAGATGCTGATCTTGTTTTGTAGAGTGCAAAGGTCGAATCTTCAACTCTTGCTGGTCACATCCATATTCAGGTATCTGTGTGGCCATTGCATCCCAAGACAAAATCAGGGATCCTTTGGTATGGAGATATTTTAGATTTTTTTTTTTTGCTAATTAATTAGTAGCCTTTGATGTTAAAAATATTTGTGTTTTTTTCATTAAAAATGTTGCATATTAAGGGATTTGAGATGTATTTTCCCTTCTTAGATGACGGGGATCGCATGCCTTGGTGGGAGGAAATGAGATTTTTTTATTTTATTTTGATGTTTTTGTTTTTATATTATTCTGAATTAATGGACTAGCAGGCCTTTATTTTTATCATTAATAACAATAATTAACATAATATTTTAATCCTGATTAAGTTTTAATTGTTTGATTTTTTTAATAAATTTATTATTTTACTCGGTAGTTTTAATTATGAAATTAAATTCATAATTATACGATATGTTAAAGAGGTTTAATACTTTTTTAGTTATTTATCTAGACATAGATTATTATAAATTAAAATATTTACAAAAAAAAATTATCATAGATTAAAATAGTGTAATAACAAAGTTGTTATTTCTAAAAAAAATTGTTAGACATACAATGGAAGGTGAGATTTTTTATTTTTTAATGGACCTTTGACATAAAATAAATAATTGGAAACAAAATGACCGGTTTGAATTTTGCTGAAGCAAGATAAAACTTTCAGCGAGGCATGGCAAGACTGTCTACCCCGAGTCAAGGAATGGCATGGTTGCCATACCCTAAGCACTCGGGTCAGACAAAGAAGTGAGTCCTCAATGCTTGGGTTAGTCGTTGAGGCCAAACACTAGACTTTAAAGTCCGGTGACATGATCCAAGGTATTTGGGTTTGACATTTGGATCCATAGCTCATGGGTCTGTAAATCCGCGTCCTTGGATCTTTTTAAGTCTCCCTAGCTCCGTTGACCCGCACCTAAGGTCCGTAAACTCCTATAGGGGTTGCAAACCTATGCTCTTGAGTCTAACTTTTAAGATGAGATTAAAATTCCCGAATCTAATATTATAGTCAGACTTAAATTTAATTTTTTGGTTTGTTATTGCTGCTAGATCTAAGATTTTTTGATTTAGCATTGTCAGACTCCAAATTTTTAAATTTTATTTTTATATTATTACTAAAAAAAATAACTATTTGAATCTAATTAAACATATTGGTTTTAAATATAATTAATATATTATAAATTTGTTTATATGTATAGTTATCTAGAAGAAATACCATGTTGAAAAATTAAATATTACAAGTCTCAATAATTAAACATTAATTTTTATTAAGTTCACATGAATGAGTCAAATATGATGAAAACACATTATTGGTTCAATTTTGATTAAAAAACATATTACATTTTCAATAATCACATTAAATATATATATATATATATATATATATAAATCCGTATACGAAACGACTCCTTGATTTCAAACCATATTTGGATAGTATGCGACTATGCATGCCAAACAATATCAATTATGTTTCCAAACAAGTATTATGAGGTTTAGGTAAAGTTGCATTAATAAGTTGAACTTTGAAAATTCACTTTAAGCTATGATCAAGATTTTATTTTAAGCAAAATGCGATGGCTTATACTTGAAATATAGAACATTGGATCACAATACCAAACAGCTTTCTAGTGATGCGCTTTTGTAAATTTATTTTTAATCAAATTTTATTTTTTTTAAATCACTAAACACGTTTTATGAAGGACTCACCAAACTATCAATCAATAAGAACAAAATACTTGACCCTTCAAATATTCTATAGTTAATTAATTCCACTTAAAATTCGCTTGAAACTTTAATTATAAAAATACTATCATCTATACTTTTTATAAAACTAGTATTTTA